CCTGCCTCTTTTTTTTTTTGGGGGGGGGGAGGCTGCTGGTTCACCGGGCACTTCCGCCCTCACCGCCCAGCCCAGGCAAAGGGACGGAGGGAGAAGCAGCTGCCGCCATGCTAAGTGAGGGCAAAAGGAGGCAAAAGAAGAAGGGAAGATCCCGGCCGTTTCTCTCGCTCGCTCGCTCTCTGCTGCCCCCTGGAGTGTGGGAGGAGGAAACGCCCCCCCAGGTCAAGGCAACGCGCTCCCCGCTCAGGAGGGATCCATCCCAGGACACAGAGACGGCACGCTTTCGAGGGGGGTGATTCCCCCCCCTGCAAAAAATGAAAATGTCCAGAAATTGGACCTCTCTAGAGAGAACTCAGTCTTTCATTTAGGTCTTCCTGTTGTATAGTTTGGATGCCGTGTCGTAGAACTCGTACTTGTCATTGTAAAAGGACATATTCCATGCTCCTCATATTTTTTCCCAATTTTTCCAGGAAAAAAAGAAGAAAAAACGACTTTTTTTTAAAAAAAGGGGGGGAACACACAATTCCCCCCCCCCGCACTTTTCCCCATCTCCAGTCCCACACCTCCTCCTGCTGGGGCGATGATGGCTACACTTAAGAGGCAAGGGCATCCCTAATCTCAAGGGTAACGGGAGTCGCTTTAAAACCGATTCTCAAACAAGTCAACACGGACCATGGATTCAGACCAGACGAAGGCTAGCTCGCTCCTGTTCCTCCAAGTTTGTTTTTTTTAAAAAGGCAGGGGAGTGGGATGGCAGCCAATAAACAACCCAAGTTTATGAGACTTTCAGGGCCACAGTTCTTAAGGCAGCAGGCAACACAGTGGGATGTTATCCTACAAATAACCCTCTTAGAACGGCAGAGCTGGAAGGGACCCTAAGGGGTCATCCAGTCCAGCCCATCCAGGAGGTCCCCCCCCCGGGGGGGAATCCAACTCCCAACCTCTGGCTCCGCAGCCAGAGAGGCCTCAACCCCTCAGCTCTCCCCGTTACACAAACGTAAATGCCACAATGCAAATGGCCGCAGCGAATTGCTGCCGCCTCCTGGCACAGCTGCTCCTATGCCCGCAAATCACATCCTCACACTTGCGTGGCTCTAACGAGCCAAGAGGATTCCGGCCGTCTTTATATTAGGCTTTTGAATATAGTTCAGGCTGCACGTCTCTTGTCAATAAATGTGTAAAGGTAGTCCTGTGATCATTAGGCCAGAGGGTGTGTGTGTCTGTCTGTCTGTGTCAGTATTCCTGAACCACGATCGATCAATCTATCGATCGATCTGCATCAGGTTGTATCCTCTTCCATCCAACGGTGGTCAAGCAAACGAACATGTCGTGGGCCACCAGGGAACTTGGCCTGTAATCAGAAATGCGAGGTGGAACTAATTAACTGCCATCAGTTCCCTGCCATGATGGATGGAACTACTCTTAGGTAAAGGTTCCCCTTGACACCGAGTATGATGGATGGAACTACTCTTAGGTAAAGGCCCCCCTTGACATTGAGTCCAGCTGTGTTCGACTCGAGGGTGCAGTGCTCATCCCCGTCTCCAAGCCGTAGAGCCAGCGTTTCTCCATAGACCGTTTCCGTGGTCACGTGGCCAGCGCGACTAGACACGGAACGCCATGACCTTCCCACCGAAGTGGTCCCTATTTATCGACTCACATTTTTACATGCTTTCAAACTGCTAGGTTGGCAGGAGCTGGGACAAGCGATGGGACCTCCCTCTGCCGCGTGGATTCGCTCTTACGCCAGTCTCAATCCATCGCGTGGATTCGATCTTACGCCGGTTGGTCTTCCGACCCGGCATCACAGAGGCTTCCGCGGTTTAACCCACAGCGCCACCATGTCTCTGTGAACTACTCTAACACTGCCACAAATCTCCAACAGGATTCTGGTCGAGGCGTCACAACGAGGACAGTGCATGCTTCCTGCAGGCAGAAGAGGCCTGGGAAGGGTCGGCTCCACTCCTGGCCAGCGCTTACTAACTTGGGCAAAAGTCCTTTCCCAGCCTCAGTGGTCCACCTGTAAAATGGAAACTGGTTTCTTTGGGAAAATCAAGCAGAATCAAAGACAAAATAGGGCAGGCTTTGTTTTTCTTTTAAAAAAATCTTTATTCTTTGCATTCAAAATGCAGTCTAGAAAAACAAGGATTTTCCCTGAAACAGTTATTTCAGAGAAGTAAACGTCGTTCTCTCACAGTATGCACCCAGAGAGGTTTAAAATACACGTTAAAATACGTTCAGACGGAACACTCTCAGCTTCATGACTATTTCATGAAGGACGTTCTCTTGCACAAGCCCTGTTAGCTCCCTGGGGCCGCGAACTCGAGTGCAAAACACAGGTTATGTAGGCATTCATGTCCTCATGAGGAAATTAGGCAAGCCTGGTGGAGAAACTTACGCATGGACCTCTGGGCTGGTCCACAGAGATCCAGAGCTAGGTAGTCACCAGGTTGTGGGTGTTGTTTAGTCGTTAAGTCGTGTCCGACTCTTTGTGACCCCATGGACCAGAGCACGCCAGGCCCTCCTGTCTTCTTTGGCCTCCTGGAGTTGGGTCACAGTCATGTTGGTCACCTCTATGACACTGTCCAGCCATCTCATCCTCGGTCATCCCCTTCTCCTCTTGCTGTCACACTTTCCTAACATCAAGGTTTTTCCCCAAGGAGTCTTCTCTTCTCATGAGATGGCCAAAGGACTGGAGCCTCAGCTTCAGGATCTGTCCTTCCAGTGAGCACTCGGGGTTGATTTCCTTCAAAATGGATAGGTTTGTTCTCCCAGCACTTCAGGGGACTCTCAAAAGACTCTCCTCCAGGTAGTCGGTAACATACCAATGAAAAGGATCCTGGCCAGAATCGTGTGGGGACTTCACCCCGTAACAAGTGAAAGCAGGGAACTTACTGAGGCCAACTGCAGCTAATTTAAGGAGCTGCCGGTCAAAGGACCAGAAGGGCCACCACTCACACCACCCAAACCTAATCCGGTCGCTGCAGTTGGTCACCAGGACTTGTGCGATTCTGCTTCCGAGTAAAATTCCAACAGGATTCTGGCCACTGAAGGGCTGTTTTTCCTTTTCAGAGAGGTCCAGAAAGTCTGTGTGTGTGTGTGTGTGTGGGGTTCTTACATTCCTCGTGGATTCAGCAGGCTTTCAAAAAGCAACTGTTTTCCATTACACCTGCCAGGATCGTGAAAAAAGGGAAGCAAAGGTGGATGGCATGGCACAGGTGCATAAAACGATGCCCGTTGTGGATGCTTTTGTCTTTCTCTCCTAGCATTAGAACCAGGGTGCTGTCCATGCCAGGTAAAAATAGTTTTAAATTAAGGAATTTTTGCTACCACAAGATTTCCTGAGGGCTGCTACCGCAGAGCGTTTTAAAAAGGGGTACATTCATGGGAGGTCGGGCTGGGCCATCCACGACTACTAGTCATTATGGCTTTGCACCAACCTCCACCGTCAAAGACCGGACAATTCTTTGTATCAACCGCATGTGAATGCAAAAACCTCCTCTTTTTTTGTTCTTAAGCTCAAGCGGGACCTATGCCTTCTCGAGTAAACAATACTGAATTAAAGGGAGATTAATCCAGGCTGAAAATGCACAGGATTGCCACCAGACGATAAAAAGTCAAATCTTCAAGGCACAACATGTCTTTAAGGTGCAACGGTCTCCCCACTATTTTGTTACTTCTCATGGCTATTTCAGATTATTAAAATATGTATTTTACTAACCCTATTCCATGATCTGAGTTTGGATCAAGGAACCACAAAAGAAAGGTTGGTCCATATTTGAACGTACACGTTTAGGAACAGAAGAATCCTCAAGGTCTGGAAAAACAGCGGTCAGAGTCTGTGAGTTATAAAAGAAATGTCCTGTGTTCAGTGATAAACATCAAGTCTGAAAAGGCAAGCGTCTTGACCCTGCTTAACCCAGAAATAAGCCCCATTTAGACCTGTGGGTTTTACTCACGCATGAAGAGTGCACAGAGTTGCCACTTGAATTATACATAGATCGGTCAAACAATACCTAAGTTGATAAATGTGCACACTGTTCCGGTGCCTTCCTGGTGGGTCTGGATGACCATGACCGTCGTGATGAAAAGAGGCTCATCCAACACCAGAGCATCAATTAAAAATCTAGCCTTATTAGGGGATTAAAAATCCTTATTCGGGTATTATGTGAAAGAGCGGCAGAGGCCTTCAACATGTGCAGAAATGCTTTGGACAATTTTTTTGACAGTGGGGAGACAGAAGGGTTAAAACCTAATGATCCATTCAAATAGAACAGACTTGGTGTAGAAAATCATCATCATCACACACCGTCAGCTCAACGGTGACCAGAGACCTCCACCCCTGAGTGATGGAGCCAGCAAAGAAAGGAAGAAAATATTCATGTAAATTCCACCGATTCAGTGGCTCTAGTACTATTTGGGGAGAGCAAGGGGATTTAGCCCACAAAGGTTTAATGCCAAGTTCTGTTTTGCATTATTGCTCTCTGCACTTCTCCTCAAATCCTCCCCTTTGGTCCACTCTGGCTTTCAAAACACCCTGCCTGATAAAAAGAGATAGGATGATCTCAAAAGCTTGCATACAACATGGTGTCGGTGGGTTTTGACCTAATACAGGCAATTTCTCTAATCCAGACTTGGGCACTGCAGACTATACAGCGGCCACTGTGTTCGGTGCAGCGTCATGGTGACAGAAAAAATAACACGAGTGGTTCATGGTTCTACGGTCAGAGCAAGAGACAAGCCACAGCTCAGACCCCTGCAGGTTTTCCCGTCCTTGGTTGTGAAGACCTTCTGCATCGACAAGATCGAAGGGGGTGGGGTGAAGAACAAAACCCAGAACTGGGCAAGTGAGCGGCTGCTTTTCTCCGTAGTCCACAGCCATGGCACTCAAAAAAAGGGAAACCACTGAAATTGCTGAACTCCAGGGAGACCTTGTCAAAAAAAAAATGCCTTCTGTGGTTCCAGTTAAAAGGGTCCAGACCTGGGAACCCAAACTGTGCACCAAGGAGTTTGGCCAGTGGGTCCGGGACTCCAAAAACGGATCCCACGGGAGCCACCCCTGGATGGGGCAGGCCGTTCTCGGAGGCATCTCAGCTGGCATTCTGGGGCCTCCTCTGACGTCGTCTGCTGCGAGAACTCGACCCACGCCTCCCACGCAGGGAGTGCGCGCTGTGGGCTCTTCGGCGCGGCCTACGAAAGGGGGCGGCCGGTTCATCGACGTTCGGGAGCCTGGGTGGAGGGAAGAGGTCGGGGCCGATTTCTGCGGGGAAACAAAAGAGAGAGGTCAGAGGGAATCCATGCCAACAGACTGCGGGTTACTAGCCTCCAAGCATCCGGGGAACTCTTTCATGAGCCACCACACAGCTCCGAGGAGTTCCAGATACAGCTCTGATAAAAAATCAATTACCGGTACAACCAAGATCTTACCACCCTTTTTCAACGTTTGGGTGCTCAGCGGATCTTTACCTGGCCGTTTGCTCACCTTTTTGTTAATGCTTAAGATGCCTCAATGTTCTGTTTTTATTCAGATTCTGCCACCTCCTCCTTTTTCCTTCCCTCCTTCCTTCCAACAAATGGTGATTTTTCCTGTGTATATAATTTCAGCATAGCGGGGGGGGGGGAGGACATCCACCACCACCACCTAAACCCCTGTTTTTTTTTTAAGCAAAGAAATGCGCCTACCATCCGGGGGAGGCCACCATCCCTGTCCGCTTTCCTCTCCATCTACCGGCCCGTTGCCATTCCAGCCGTTGTAGGGGGGGAAAGTCGCATTTAGGGAAATGGGATAGTCAAGGCCATAGTAAGAGACATCCGCATCGCTGCCTGGGAGAGAACCATCGTTGCCCAGATGGGACGGCACATGGCTGAACATCTGCTCGCATCCACCTCCCTCAGCAGGCCTGTCGCAGAAAGCATGACCATCGCTGGAGCCCACCTCTCCCGGGTGAGATCCCTGTGGGTATCCAGAGCCATCCAGAGGCCCATAGAAAGCCCAGGGTTGGTAAGGAGGATGATTACTGAGACCCATCTGGCCCCCGTAGGGCTGAGGGCCTGGGTCATATCTGTAGCTCTCAACCGCGCAACTGCCATAGCTGGCGTCCTGCTGGAAATAAGAGTCACCGATGGTACTGGTCCGTTCCCAGTGGAACTGGGTTTCGGTCTGCTCTTCAAATCTATCAGAAGACGCACCGCTGTAACTCACAGACTGCGGGGCATCCCCTTCCAAACTGTTGGCCTGCGACCAAGGAGCTTCATGGCCAAGATCGAGGCCGTTCCGCTGGGGCCCCTGTCCATGGACCTCCGTGGGCCAAGTGCTGTTTCTGTCACTGGTGATCTGTCGGAAAAGAGGCGGGGGGCCAGGACTGGACCAGCGACGAGGCATGCCTCTGGCCCAGGGATGCTCGGGCGTCGAGTGCCAGCGTTCTGGGTTTTCTGGCGGGGAAGGCACGGGGGCGGCACCTATAAATGAGAGGAAATAGATGGTGCTAAAAAAGGGGGGAGGGTGGTTTCCGGACCCCCCCCCCGGTGATCTTCAGAGGGTTCAGATGCTCCCATTCCATGCACAGAGAGGAGCCTCCATGAACGCAACAGCTCTTACAACAGAGTCAGTCACTACAAGATTAACATCATCAGAGGAACATAGGAATCTACAGTGGCCAGGATCCAACTGAATATTTATGCCGGCACAAGTGCGAAGGCGTAACTCGCGTCGGTGACTGAAGTCCTCGTTGTTAGGAACGAGGCCAGTGATCGCAAATTGATATGGAGATTGGTTTCCAAAAACCAGCCGTTGGCCACTCCATAGCGGTCTCTCCAGGACGAATATTCAACTGGATCCCAGTCAGTGTGTGCCCTTCCCCACAACACTTTTCCAAATCTCCTTGACCTCCTTGCCGAGTCTTGACGGGAGCATTCCTGGACAACGGATGCAGCATTGAAGCCGGCCCACCTTCCTTCCAGGTTTCTCCCCCGAAGAGAATAGACAAAGACAACAACACATGCACACACACACAAACACAAACACACACACACACACACACACACACACACACACAAGCTTGCTCGCTCGCTTACTCACTGGGGTCCAGCTCTCTCTTTTCAAGTTCCACCCCCCAGGCCTCAGCCATGTGGGTCAGCAGGAGTTTGGTGATGCAGCGATGCACCCAATGGTTCCAGTGGACACCATCTCTGCAGTGGTGTTGCTCCAGAAAGCGGAAGGAAAAGTGCAAATCCAGGATGTCCAGCTTATAGCAAGATGCCAGGCAGGCGCTGTAGAAGTTTGCCTCAATGACATCTTTAGGAGTCGAGTTCTTCTTGACACCCTTGGGAGAGGAGGAACCAGCGGTCAGAGTTCTAGAGCGCCCAAAAGGAGAACCGGTACCTCGCCGGCATCAGTCGTCAAAGGAGAAGCAACCCGAAGCAGGATTCTCTCCGTTTCCTCATGCCTCTCCTCACATGGGTGTCAGAAAAAGCACTTCCTCACATGGGAGTGCGACAGACCATCGGGGGTTCAGTGAGCCTTGCTCTAACCATTTCGCCACACTCCCCTGTTGGATCCTGGAGTGGGAGAGCTCATGAGAGTTAAATGTGGTGAAAGTACGGAACCTGCTGGGTCCAAGGACCTCCCAACGCTCCAGCCTGACTCAACTAAGCAGTGCTTTCAGGAAGTTCCAAAAAATCCACAAAATTAAGTGCTCTGGGCTATTATGCCAACCCACAAAATACAAAAACTCCCAGAAGTTGCTCAAGGTATGACCCAGTTCTAAGTACCACAAACCCTCTTACACAAAACCTCAACCAACTGGATGGAGAAGTTTTTATATTTTATTAAAGATAGCAAGGATTTCAAAACAGCATCAAAAGCATTTGGAGCAAACAATCAATTAAGAGTCTTGCGCCAGGAAATAAGGAAGTCAGGTAAGCTACCTAATACTTAACACACTAGCATAGCATCAGCATAGTCTTGGAGCATGCACAGATCGCATTTCTCCTGGCACAACAGAACAGGACAGCTCCTGAGCACAGCATCTCCTGAGAGATAACTAAGTCAATTAAAGTAACTTCTTGTCCCCTTTTTATAGTCCTCGGGAAGCAGGCTACTGACATGAGCCTGGACTCACACAGCAACATGGGGCAGCTCTACCTGAGGCTGGCGCCCTTGGAGGGAGAATTAGCAAAGAGCTATGAGCCCTCCTACCTTGAAGATGCTTCCATAGGTGTTTTGGCTTAACGGCGTCGCCGTGGTCCAGATGATGAGGCAACTTGAGGGTAAGAGGTCACTTAGCTTCTCAAAGAACTTTTCCAGGTTTTGCCGGTATTCCCTGAGAGCTTTGGGGATCGGGGGTTCCATGGGGAAATTATCCTGGTATCTGCATGGAAAGCAACAGGCGGTCAACACAATGAGAACGCACCTTTTTATAGGAGTATTTTTGTGTCTCTAGAAAGACCTGCAAGGTATCATGGTTAAGAGAGAGAATAATTCACTTCTAAAGAAGGGGCAGGGTGCTTTAGACCTAAGGAGAAATCCAGCCCTCACAAATTCTCACATATCCTTCCCTGTGAAACCATCATTTAGGGCCGTGGTTCCCAATCTTGGGTTCCCCAGATGTTCTGGGACTACAACTCCCAGAAATCCTGTACAACCCAGCAAGTGGTGAAGGCTTCTGGGAGTTGCAGTCCAAGAATATCTGGGGACCCCAGGTTGAAAACCACTGGTTTAGGGGCTTCTGCCCAGTTGTTTTCCCCAACAGATGGGAAACGACCTCTGAGCGTTCAGCCTGGAGGCAGCCGGTGCATCGTGGCCTCTCCCAATTTGAAGAGACCCTTGTCCAGCAGGCCGAGGCGAAGAGGCCTTCCCGAAACCAGCCAAATCAGGGAGCTGGACAGGGGACAGATTGCATTATCCTCAGTGTGGAAGGGATGGTCACTCTCAAATTGGCCTTCTCAGCCACACAAGACACTGTTCCAAGTCCTCCATTCAGAGCACGTTACCATAGTCTCTTGAGACTGAAGGTTGCCTAATCTAAATCTAGGGGCATCTGAGATTTTGCAGTCCCTCCATTCTAAAAGAATGACGTATTTCTCCAAAGGCATCGTTTTAGGGTTTGGGAAGGATTTCACGCATATGGGTTCGGTGCAATGTATGCATTATGTACTTTGTAGGACTTGACCATGTGCCTAGATTCATGGGGAGTTACACCCAGGCAGTCCATGTGTCTGATTTCACCTTTAGTGAAGCAACAGACCACGTTATAACAACACGTTACTGCACCACTGCACCCAAAGCATGTCTCCTGGACAAGACTTCTGCCTCATTGCAAATTTCATAACAGCATCCACAATGTCAAGTTATGCAGACGCAGCTACGGCACAGGATTTTTGGCCAGTGTCTTCTTCCTATGCTTACCGCCACATAAAGATGAAATCCTGGCCTCAGTCACATTCTGCTGTGCTTAGGCTTGGACTTTTGCCCTTTCGCTGTTTGTGACTTGTAGACTATTCATGGCTGCACAGCTTCACATCCACGCACCCAACACTTAGGAACACGCCCCGTCTCATAGAGAGGCCCCGTTACCTGTTGAGGTCCCAGAGACAAGAACCGATGACGAGGACGTCCGGTATCAGTTCCGTTTCCAAGCCTTTCTTGAAGTCCTCCAGGACGCTCTCCATGTAGGCGGAGTAGACACGAGTGATGAAGTAGAAGCGCACAAGGTGGTGGTCGGTGCGGTACTGACGCACCTCGCGGTAATTGGACCCATTACCTAGCCCATTAAATTCCACCCGGTGATCGCCCGCAAAAGTCTCCTCGCCCTGCAAACAGAGTCTGTATCATTGCCCAGGTCGCCCTGGGCTCCCTTACAGCCAGAGAGAGCCACCTTTGGATCAAGTTGCTTCCTAGAAGCGGGGAATCGTGAGAAACAAGAGGGCTGCGCGTCTTTTCCCACAGTTACAGGAAGGGAGATTCAGACTGAATATCAGGGAAAACTTCCTAACTGTTAGAGCAGTACGACAACGGAACCCATGACCTCGAGAGGGAGCGAGTGCTCCTACGCTGGAGGCCTTCAAGAGAAATTTAGACAACCACCTGTTAGATCTGCTTTGATTTGGATTTCGGCCTTGAGCAGGGGGTTGGACTCGATGGCCTTGCAGGTCCCCCTAACTCAGTTATTCTATTCTATCCTCCAACCACCACCGACAACTAATATAGAAGACGGGTTTGATAAAGGTCCATTTCCAAAATAATTGCACGTGTAGGAATAAAATTACTTCCTTAGTATTAACTGCTATGGTTTCATAGTTTGCAGTGGCTCACCTGTGAAGTTTAGCAACCACACCTGCGCAGCTTACCGGCTAACAACAGGTATGACACGCAACAGCACCCAGTTACAGTACTTTCGCCAATTACAATCTAAGGGGATTTTAAGGGGATTTGGGGGGCATCCTAACAAGGATGAATTGTGGTGCTGGAGGAGGCTCTTGAGAGTCCCCTGGACTGCAAGGAGAACAAACCTATCCATTCAAAAGGAAATCAACCCCGAGTGCTCCGTGGAAGGACAGATCCTGAAGTTGAGGCTCCAGTACTTTGGCCATCTCGTGAGAAGAGAAGACTCCCTGGAAAAGACCCTCATGTTGGGAAAGTGTGAAGGCAAGAGGAGAAGGGGCTTTGACAGAGGACGAGATGGCTGGACAGTGTCATCGAAGCGACCAACATGAATCTGACACAACTCCGGGAGGCAGTGGAAGACAGGAGGGCCTGGCGTGCTCTGGTCCATGGGGTCACCAAGAGTGACTAAACAACAACAATCCTAACATGATTTTTCTCCCCAAGCCTTAACGACTAAACAACAACAACAATCCTAACATGATTTCCCCCCCCAAGTTTTATGTCATTCTTCTTATGGAAAACCCCAGTACTCTCCTGTAATAAAGCAATGAGGAGAACCATGCTTTATCAGGCATGGGGAAATATTTGCAGGGAGAAATCACCACTAGAAGTGAAAAATTGACTCACTCTGGGCGAGTGAATTCCAGCCATGGCTACAAGCAACCCAACAAAGCATGTTCTTCCCCCTGCATAAGGCATCCTGCAGCCAGCCTATTCGCATCGCAATGCCAAGTCAATCACCATTCATCAGTGTTCCTAGTTACATCTACCTTTCCTGTGATCAATTCCATGAGCTGGTTCTGCTTAGTAACAGGGATACCCAGTGTGTAGCGCACCGGACAGAGTGAGAGACTAGGAAGCAGAAGAACAGGGTTCAAATCCCGGGCTGGCCATGGAAACTGACAGGGTGGGGGCACCAGTAAAACCACTCAAACATCTTGCCTTGAGAGCCCTCTTAGGTTGCCATAAATCTGAACCAACACCATAATAAGACACATACACTGAGTATCTTATTCCCGTCTATTTTAACTTCACCTACACTGTGGCTCCCCACATTTCTTCCTCATTCACCGGAACAAAAACCAAAGCTCGTTCTAACCGAACAAACTTGAAATACACCCGACATAATATACAAAGAAAGGCTGTTAAGGATGCTGATGATTTAGACACCACACCTTATATTTCAGCTGGGAAAGGCCGAGCATCTCATCGGTTTGCAGGATGTACACCAGGTCTTTATACACCGACCGGAAAACTGTGAGAAAAGAGAAAGACAAAGAAGCCGTCTAAACGACAGAGGTGATGCTAAGAAAATGCCATGAACCCTTTAAAAGGAGTGTAAAAACTGTATGGCCTGTGAGCCGTACGTGGGGCCCCCAAAACCACTTCTTTGTGTTGCCCCCTCAGTCGGTGAGTCATACGTAGCCCATAAAAATCATTTACCCAATCCCCCAAGAACTTTAAAAAAAATCTTCTCCAAGAAAAATGGGGAAATTGCCCCACCAGAAACAACCAGGGGGCACGGTTCCTGATTATAACTGTTTCTTTTTAAGTCCCTCCAACTATTTTTCCCCTAAATGGTGTCTTTCCTCTGAACCTTCCATAGCTGTAATCCCCCCTGCAATAAACGAAGGCTCAGAAGATGGGGGGGGGTTCCTTCTGTTCGAACGGAAAAGGGTCTGGCATGCCACTTCCCCACGAGAGCATCTGTTCAGCCTAGGATACTAACTGGATCTCTCACCACGTCTGGTGGCTCAGGTGGCCTCCAGACGAGGGAGGGTCTTCTGCCCCCTTCGGCTGGTAGGCCAGCTGCAGTTCCATCCCTCGCCTTCGGGATTCTAGGTAAGGATGAACAACATGCCTCATACACGAGCTGCCTTTCGAGACGGTCTGGAAATGGCACCTCATGCAAAACTTGACCACTCCCTTGGGGACCAGATAAGACAGAAATGTGGCCACTGGGTTCCAGTCTTCCTGCCATTTTGGTCTTGGATCAACAACCCTTGACCTATAAAGTCTTGCAATGGGACCCCCAATATTTCAAGAAGTCTCTCTCCCCCAAAATGAACCCTACCTCCTTTTCTGCATCCACCCTCCAAGCCACGTTCGGTGGGGGCGGTCACATTTCAAGGCTGGGCCTTTTCTGTGGTAGCCCCTGACTTACGAACACTCTCCCTCAGATAATTTGGCTGGCACCCACATGGTCATTTTCCCCCCACCCTAAGGAGTCGTTCCTGGCATTTGGAGATTAGTTACGGCTCAGTTTTTCATGGTTTACGAACCTCGTGGGGTTCATTCCAATTTGGTGGGAAGGTTTGATTGAGTGTTGTGGGTGAACACGTCTCCTTTCACCGTTTTGTTCTCAATCCTTTAATTTACATTAGAATTCTGAGAACTTTTCCTGGACCACTAAAATAAATCTTAGAACCACAGAGCTGGAAGGGACCCTAGGGGTCATCAAGTCCAGCACCGGTCAAGGAGGCCCACTGGGGGAATCGAACTCCCAACCCTCTTGACTCTGCAGCCAGAGACTTAAACCATTGAGCCATCCAGGAGTTCAAATAATGACACTGATGTTCTGATGACCAGGGATGCGGGCAAATACTGGGGCCGAAGCCCCAAGGCTGAGTTCCTATTAAAAATAAGGGTTTTCTCCCCAGGGGAAAAAAATGAAGGGATGGGTTGGCGTCTTGAGTCATGAGTTGGAGTTGTTGGGGGGAAAAGACCCAAGTTGCGTCAATGGGGCAACTTGACAGCAAGTCCCAAGACTCTCGAGTCTCCCTCCCTGCTGGTGACCCAATAAAGGGTGTCACACCCATCTCTGATCATCAAGGCAGGACGTGCATAACTTACAACTCGGGGAAGATTCCTTTGGGACCAGCTCTCAGAACCTGTCAGAGCCGCCACCCATGGGACGTGTAGTCCCCAAACTCTGCAGGCAACCGAAGTAGTTAAAAATTTACAGCCCTCGGTTCCAGGAGATGGGAGTTTTCTGAGTGGAGGGGACCACAAAGATCTTTGGAAGGGCGAAAGGACCCTTAAAAGGGGGAGGGTGGGCATCAAGCTGACTTCAGCTGACTTGGAGGAAGGGAAGGGGGCTGGATTTTGGAAGACGGGGCCGGTTTTTGATTTACTTCACTCCCAGCGAGACATCGTGGGGTTTCAAGGAAGGAGCGGTGGTAGTGAGGAGGAACCCCAACCAACCACTAGGTGCAGGGTCTCCTTCTCAAACCAGGCCGCCCCCCATCCTCAACAACAGCTCTGCCAGGAAACGCACTGGAATCGCCCATGACCACCACAAATTTGTTGTGAAGCAGCTGTTGGGCTTCTTTCGAAGAGAAATCATGGATGCTCCCCAAAGGGAGATGGTGGTGGTCCATCATGCCTGCCTTCGGTGGAGAGGGGGGGCACCTTGGCCAGGCGATGGTCCTTCTCCTCCTGGGGGAAAAAATCAAGAAATGGTAAGTGTGAGGAGGGAGGAAAGGACCGTAAGACAAGCCCCCGCCACCGCCACCACCTTTACCCCTGCTGGAATACATGGCTTCACCTGCCTTCTGGAGCGTGTCCGGACGCCGAGCAATTGTTACGTAGATTTTACTCCTCCGTCAGAACCTGAAACACAATTGAAGACCAACACAGATAAGGACAAAGTGAAGCCGGTAGAGATGAGAAACCTTGGCGGGGAAGAATTTTTTTAAATCAATCAATCAATCAATGAAGACAAAAGGCTAAATCTAGCTTTTAGAATTAGGGACCTATCAAACGAATAAGACTTTAGGAAACCAACCCTTAGACAAGTCCCACTGATTCACAGGATCTACTCTAGCTACCAACATGAATTTGACCAAACTCCAGGAGGCAGTGGAAGACAGGAGGGCCTGGCGTGCTCTGGTCCATGGGGTCACGAAGAGTCGGACACGACTTAACGACTAAACAACAACAACAACTCTAGCTGAGATAAGCAAACTGGATTTAGCCTATGGAGTCATAATGCGAACCAGAGATGTGCAGATGTTATGTTTCGGGAGGGGCCACGGAATTATTTTGGGGACTGGGCTAGAGCGATTCCCCAAAGGACAGGAGATCAACTCCCATTTTCCTTTCTTTATTTGTATCAGAGTATTGCACAATTCAAAATTAGGGACATATATGAAATATAGGTGGAATTAAAATGTTAATTTTAAGTCTCCTGGGGCAGTGGTGAAAACTGTTGTACTGCAGCCAACACTTTGCTTACAACCTGAGTTTGATCCCGACAAGGTTCATTCAGCCTTCCATCCTTCTGGAGTTGGTGAAATGAGCACCCAGCTCGCTTGGGGTGGAAGCAATCGACAGCCTGCATAATTAACTTGTGAACTGCCCAGAGAGTGTTTTAGCTCTATGGGCGGTATAAAAGCAGCACACCTTGCTTTTTTAGACAATTAGGCTGTTTTTGACCAGAAGTCGGCTACTGCAATAGCGCTATCTTGGCCGTTGACTAGTTCTTCTTTTGTATATATAGTATGGCATAAATTGCATACACATAAATTAATTTCTTCACAGTCACAGAAAATGTGCCCTGCATCCAAATAGCCTCATTTTCACTTTGAAGTCTATTTAGTGACTTCCAGGTGGTCCGGCCAGAGTCTGGTCCAGGTGGGAGATGCTCTTCAGCATTCATCCATTTGGCAAAGTGTGTTGCCATTTTGCTTCTCCATAGGTTTAGTTTCGCCTCTTCTGGTTTAGTTTTTGGAGCTGGAGAGACGTGCAGAAAATTTTCCCTCGATTTCAGCTATCTAGGTGGCTGACTTCCTGCTGACAGAAACGCAAAAGGGAAGCATGAATTGCTTCCTGTAAGAGGAAGGGAGCCATCCTAACATGTTTTGTTGTCTCTGTGCTTTTGTGCCCTTTGAGATAGGGAAGGAACAGAGACCTAAAACTCCTTCTCACGCTGAAATCTTCTGTATTTTTTGCAGCAGGAGACAGTATACTGGGACCTCCATATCCTCTGGAGATTGGCTCCAAGCCTCTTGTAGATACCGGAAATCGTGGATAATAGCAAACACCATATATACTGTTATTAGTGGTTCTCAAACTTGGCTCCCCGGATGTTCTTCAACTGCAACTCCCAGAAATCCGGGCCAGCACAGCAAATGATGAAGGATTCTGGAAATTGCAGTCCAAGAACATCAATCAATCAGTTTAAGAACCACTGCTATGTATCACAGTAACAGAAAAAAAAGAAGAAATGTTTTTTCACATGTATTACCAGAACTGACCACTAGAAGACACCAGAGACAATGCTACGTAGTCTTCATTAACAAGCATTCATAGAACAGTCTCTCACTCCATTAAGTGGCCTGTTCTGGTAATACATGTGAAAAAAATTCTGGATCTTTTTCGTGTAACATTTTTAATATTTTCATATCGTGGAGAAGTGAAAGATTTTCCAGGTGTGTTAAGATCACAGACATCATCCTTGGCCAGTCCAGTTAAATTGCAGGGATTTCATGTATCTGGAAACTGCCAGGTTGAGGACGTGTCTAACTTCCAAAAGAAGACATTTGAGGGAACCAACACCAAAATGGAGAAAAGAAGATCAAGGGGAGGTTCAAATATTCGTGTAACATTTTTAATATTTTCATATCATGGAGAAGGGAAACCTTAGATTTTCCAGATTTCTCTCAGATATCATCCTTGGCCAGTCCAGTTAAATTGCAGGGATTTCATGTATCTGGAAACTGCCAGGTTGAGGACGTGTCTAACTTCCAAAAGAAGACATTTGAGGGAACCAACACCAAAATGGAGAAAAGAAGATCAAGGGGAGGTTCAAATACTACAGAGGATCTGTTCTTGATCATCCCAGAGTGCAGGACACTCAACAATGGGCTTAAGTTAAAGGAAGCCAGATTTCGGTTGAATATCAGGAAAAACTTCCTAACAAGTTAGATCAGTATGACAATGGAACCAGTGACCTCGGGAAGTGGTGAGCCTGTGTCTTGGGTCCTTTTGAGTAAAAAACTAGAAGACACCAGAGACAATGCTACGTAGTCTTCATTAACAAGCATTCATAGAACAGTCTCTCACTCCATTAAGTGGCCTGTTCTGGTAATACATGTGAAAAAAATTCTGGATCTTTTTCGTGTAACATTTTTAATATTTTCATATCATGGAGAAGGGAAACCTTAGATTTTCCAGATTTCTCTCAGATATGCTTTGATTTGGATTCCTTGCCTTGAGAAGGGAGTTGGACTAGATGGCCTTAAATGCCCCCTTCCAACTCTGATTCTACGAAAATGTGCCACTTGCAGGCACTGATGTGAACCAAAGTATCGCTGGTCATTTATCCTGCTAGCATCCTAGTCCCTACCTTTCAAGCCAATGGTCCACATAATTTCAACTTAACATGTTGAACATTTTTGCCACGGAGTCTTAATGTAAACAGATTAGAGTTCTGTGCTCGGTACAAATGAATAAAGGGCATTTTTTTCCTACTGCTATTCCAAACTCTGGGTCATTGGTCCATTTAGCCTGTTATCACCAATTCTTGACTGGCAGGATTTTTCTTTTAGCTGTACCTGGGAGTTCCCTGCTCTCTGAGGGTGTGCCTACCTACCTACCTACCTACCTACCTACCTACCTACCTACCTACCTACCTACCTACCTACCTACCTACCTACCTACCTATCTATCTATCTACAAACAAACACTGGAGGCATTCAAGAATAAATTGGGCAACTCTCTCTCAGATCTGCTTTGATTTGGATTCCTTGCCTTGAGAAGGGAGTTGGACTAGATGGCCTTAAATGCCCCCTTCCAACTCTGATTCTACGAAAATGTGCCACTTGCAGGCACTGATGTGAACCAAAGTATCGCTGGTCATTTATCCTGCTAGCATCCTAGTCCCTACCTTTCAAGCCAATGGTCCACATAATTTCAACTTAACATGTTGAACATTTTTGCCACGGAGTCTTAATGTAAACAGATTAGAGTTCTGTGCTCGGTACAAATGAATAAAGGGCATTTTTTTCCTACTGCTATTCCAAACTCTGGGTCATTGGTCCATTTAGCCTGTTATCACCAATTCTTGACTGGCAGGATTTTTCTTTTAGCTGTACCTGGGAGTTCCCTGCTCTCTGAGGGTGTGTGTGTGTGTGTGTCTCCCATCCAACTGCTAAACCAAGCCTGACCCTGCTTAGCTTCCAAACTTAGATGAGACTGTGGGGTGTTTGGTTTTGCATGGCAGTAAGAGGAACTTAAGAACATGGAAAATGGATGTGTGGCCCCATACAGTAAAAAATGGATGTGCACCTTGCTAGGGACCGATGGCATGAAGACCGTGTGAAGGTCTGGGGCCCTCCCTATTGAAATGAGCACCTGATAAATACAGCAACTTTGGAAACAGGCCTTATCTCTGGACTGTCCTTATCTAACCCTGGGAAAATACAGAATGCACAAGGAGGGGATTGAGCGAAGGAGGAAGCCAAGAAGTAGGAGGAAGGAGGAGAGTCTGAAAGGCTTTGGAGTTAAAAATCCAAGCAACTTTGCACCTCGCTGGTTCCTTGACAGCTTCAGGGCTATTCTCAGATAACGGCCATTGTTTCCATTAAAGCGCAGAAAGACAGATTTATGGCCAACAGGCTCCGTTTCCTTGCTCTGTATGAGGGAGGACCTTTGGTAAAGAGATCTAAAGACTCCTGAACTTTGGCAAGTCGGGTGTGGAGGACAGGCTGAAATGAAAGGAACAAGAGAACAAAGATGTTGGGCTGGATTTCGATCCAGTCCAACATACCACCAGTTTTGATAAGAAAGAAGAGTCTTGAGTTCTGTGGGCAAGCAAAAACCACCAAAGACACGGAGTCGTTTTAGGGTGCTCCCAGAAGCCATAAGGGTATATTTCCCCCCCCCCCATAAACCAGAGATGATACCCAGTGTGCTCTGGTGGATAGAGCAATTGACTAGATTGCAAGAAACCTGGGTTCAAATTGCTGTCAGCCATGAAAATTCATGGGGGCGGGGAGCGGAATGGAACTGGCAGAACCACTCCTTAAATATAAAAATAAAATAAATTAGGGTTGCTCTAAGTTTGTTTCAACTTGACGGCACTTGACATAACAGCATAACAAACCAGGAAGCAGGAATATGCAGACTGGAGGGGTATCACAGGGTCTCCCCAAGGTTGTGTTCATGACCCCCAGCCTCCCCACCCTGATTTCCTTTAGAATGGATAGGTTTGTTCTCCTTGCAGTCCAGGGGACTCTCAAGAGTCTCCTCCAACAACACAGTTCAAAAGCATCAATTTTTCAGCATCCAGCCTTCTTTATGGTCCAGCTCTCACTTCCATACATTGCTACTGGAAAAACCACAGCTTTGACTTATGCGGACCTTTGTCAGCAAGGTGATGTCTCTGCTTGTTTACTGTAACCTGATGCATCTCTCTGGCATGCAATACTAAATACAACTCCTCATTATTCTCTGTCAAAAGGGTGACTATTGAGCCACTCAATAAACCCAGCAGGGATCAAAGTCTTAAGACTATTTTTGATGGACACACCATTTAAGTTCCTCTGTTTCCAGGAATCAGGAACAGAATGCTCCCTCCTGCCACAGCCAAACAAACACTATTTCCCTAC